TATAAAACTAATACTAAAACTCACTTCAACAAGAGCATCTAATTTCTTAGCTGCAGTGAATGTCACTGCATCTTCAACACCATCCTCCTCATAATAAACCAGCCCAGCATATGTTGTAGCTCTTAATAATTCTTCAGGTATACTTCCAGTACTAGCTGAATCTTCCAATACTGACTGTTGAGATACTGTATCTTGAATTAACCCATCATTACCTATAGCATTAAAATTAATGCAATTTTAATTTTAGCAAATTAAATGATGCAAAAAAACAAAAAAACTGCATATATTTTACACTATTAGTTTACCCCCAGAAGATGATGAGTTCCTTGTTCTCAGGCTGTGACCAGGTTCTGATAAAGGATCTAAATAACAAACCAGTTGAATAACATACGCTAATGATGCATGAATATACTGACCAGCTAAATGAGATGAAACTTCTGATGAAGAACTAGTACCTGTTCCTCCTCCTCCATCACAGCCACAGACAGATACAAGACAGAATTTCTCACGTTTAATGGATCCATACCCAACTATCAGTCCTAAACTCACCTCCCTCTACTAATCTGAACTGGTAAGGAAGACTGGCTGTGCTCACAGGAGCTATTGCAAACTTTAAGTATCGCCCAAGATCTGGCCGTCCTGTTAAATCAATGCAGTGCTGTATCTCTAGTTGTAGTGGCTTCAGTAGAGGCTTTGAGAGTGATACTGCATACATAGCACTCACTAGCACAGTATTAGGAGGAAACTGGAACTGTCCTCCTACAAGAGCAACCACTGCTACTTCTACTGTCTCAGAGGGCAGTAAGCTGTCTTCTTGTACTCCAATCCTTAGACCATATTTCTCCCAATTCATCAGTTGAGGTTTGTCTCCTTGAATTAAGAACAGCTTCTTCTCTGCTACCTGGACATCACTCAGACATTCCAGATTATCTATCAATTGTATAAAACACACAGTCACAAACATAATAACACTCACTACTGGTACATGTATGTTTTGCAATGCCATAAACATTACAGGTGAATTTAGACAATTAAAAAAATGATTTCTGGGTACACAATGTACATGTACATTTTTACATGTACATAATTATGTAATTATCATGAATTTAAGAAATTGAGGTGCAATCCCCTTACAAGGCTATCAACTATAAAATTTAGAACAATAAATGGATCACTATGAGCAAACCACATAATACTAGTATCACAAAATAAGCTACATGTATGCCTTTAAAGGGTATCTGCAATGAATTTTTGAGTATTTATTTTAATGATTGCCTGGCCATAATAATAATGTGTTCCAACTCCCATTGTCCTAATACAAGTATTTACTGAGATATAAGCCTTGAAAGTCATGAAAAATGGTCACATTTTGCTTCCTGTCAATTTACTTCCTGTCAGTGGGTGTGGCTAAAC